CCAGCACAACAGAACCTTCGCAGCTGATTCAAGTCGTTGACCCAGCCTCACGGATTGACCTGTCAAGCGCTGTTGAAACAGTTTTACCAGTTCAAGGACAAAAGTCATTGATTGTCCCGTGTTAAATTCCGTCCCGCTGATCTTCGATCATCCCTTGGAACCAGACCAAGCTTCGACACAATGCTCTCCGAAGGTTTCATTTCGGCCATTCGAGCGCAGCCGAAGTCTGCGAATAGTACCATTGCGAAAGATGTCGGCATATACGTTCACGCATTGCATCCGACACATACCGTCAAGTCGTCCTTCAAGAAGAGCTCCGCGCCGGTGAATGCGTTGGTTGCAAGCTCAACCCATATTTTTACAGCGCAGGTGGATAAAGCTGTCGTCCACGTCTATTCGAGGGATCGAGGCAATCAAGAAGCATTGATATCGTTTCCAGAGCGAATACATAGCCTGGCTCTGGTTGGAGATGGTGTGCTGGTATTGGGGACGGTGGAAGGAAGAGTAATACTTTGGGAGGCAAGTCTGGCCATGTCTAGACACAGACAATTGCTAATTTTCTGCAGGTCTGCACAGGACGGACCATTTTAACGCCCGCAGCTCATCTGCAAGCAGTCTCCTGTATAGCAGCAACGAACTCCCATATCATCACAGGCTCCGAAGACTCCAACGTCCACGTATGGTCGGTGCCCCACCTGCTCTCCCTAAGTTCAAACGAAACACACGAACCTCTCCGGAGTCTGTCCAACCATCGTGCCGGCATAACATCTATCGCGATAGGCCACGGTGCGGGATCCACCAATATCTGCGTTTCAGCGAGTAAGGACAACACAATCATTGTTTGGAATTATTTGTCGGGTGATCTTCTTCGGACATATTTACTTCCTTCAACGCCACTCTGCCTGGCCCTCGACCCCTGCGACCGTGCTACATACGTGGGATTTGATGATGGTTCAGTCCAGCTTATCGAATTCCTGCAGTCGAATTCTAGAATCAACCCGCTATTTGACACCAACCTACAAACCACGCCGGAACAAATAAAGCTGCCACCTTGGACCACGCCATCTGAAGCAGGTGCAACCTTTTGCATCGGCCTAAGTTACGATGGCACCTGTCTCTACTCTGGGCACGCATCTGGCAAAATCTCCCAGTGGGACACAGGCCGACGTGCTTTCTCTTCTGAGCTTGCTGATTTGAATGCTCCTGTTACCAATCTCCTAATGTTATCGCCATTTCCGGCTCGCAGATTGACCCGAGCCACCACAGTGGTAAAGCCTAAACTCGGCGAGGCTCAATATACCCTTTCTGCTCAACTATGCGGGTCTTTGCAATCTGATCCTGTCAGCAAAGTAATTCAAAATTCTGGGTTTCCATCCAGCTTGCTTGAAGATGCAATTTCAAGGTTTTTGGCGCCAGCGGCCACGTCTTCTAGTGGAGATGAGAGTCTTCGGAAAGAGAACGAAGAACTTTGGAAGGTTGTGCAAGAGCAACGAGACCTACAAAAGAAAACATGGGAAAAGTATAACAAGCTGAAAACCGATGGGTCTTGACCATGAACTTGTTTCAGACCGTGCTTCAATAAGTCTGTGCATCTAGACGCCACGACGCAACTCATATCGGGGGTCTTTGCTCAAGGTCTGTTCTTTTCGCTAGGCAGATTGCCATCCGGTTCTCACTGGTCCAGCCATACATAATAGGTAGATAACCAAATCTGTATCTCCAATTGTCGCATTTGATCGACTTATCCGTGCGAAGCGAAAGCTTGACTATATTCCGAGACTTTTTTCATGCACTAGGCGAGTCCTGCAGGGTCCCCGTCCATGGCATGGCGTGTCAGGAATTATCACAAACTCAACTCGTCTCAAGGAACATCCACTGTTGAACTCAACCCCACTGATAACGACGCTCCGAGAGAAAATGGTCAAAATGAAGTCAAAGTATCGGTCTCCTGTAGGCGTATCGGCATTTGATGTTCAGGAGGTTTCAGGACCAGCTTTGAAGGGAACACAGCCTATCCGGTTGGTTCTGCCGGTATGAGCGCAAGAATACTTTATCAATTCGACACCCCATAATTTTCAAAAATTAGATGCTCTAGCTTAGCATTAGAAGGGAAGGTCAAGATGCATGTCAAGGTCGTTATACAGATACTCGCTGCCCTGGCGGTAGCGATATCAGCTTCTCCCGTTATAACGCCAAGCCATGTTGTACATGAACGACGATCGATGCCACCTCAAAATTGGTCGAAGCATTCTCGTCTTCATCCAGCATCAGTCTTCCCAATACGAATCGGTCTTGCTCAACAGAATCTTCACCGGGCCGAGGAATTTCTCAGCCAAGTCTCCCATCCTTTGTCGGCCGATTATGGAAAACATTGGTCCCCGCAGAAGGTTGCTGACATGTTTGCTCCGAGTGCGGAGACGGTCTTCGTGGTAAAAGCGTGGCTGTCAGGCGCCGGTATTGATCTGAAAAGGGTCAGAATGTCCGCAGGGAGGAATTGGATGGAATTCAATGCTACGGCTATGGAGGCGGAAAGGTTGCTGAAGACGGAGTACCATTTGTACAACCATGATACAGGACATAAACACATCGCCTGCGAAGAATACAGCATCCCTTCCCATCTCACAGAACATATCGACATAATCACACCAACTGTCGATTTTGACAAGAAGATTGGATCTACTCGGCGGTTACACAAGGACGATCAAATCCCGCCTCCTTTACAGCATCTCAACAAGCGTAATAAACGCGAACTTGGCAAAGCAATCGTTGGCTCGGCCACTGATGCATCAAACCCAAAGCAGGGAGCCGCAGTGGTCAACGCTCTGATGACCTTGGAGAACTGCGATTCCATGATTACACCGGCATGCCTCCAAGCACTCTACGATATGCCACCCGGAAGCAAAGCAGCGACAAACAACACCATGGGGGTCGTCGAATACACGCCTCAGGCGTTTCTTCAGAAGGACATGGACATCTGGTTTAAACAATTTTCTCCCGATCAAGTCGGACGAGCTCCAAACACGAATCTCATTGACGGCGCTATTGTTCAGACAATGAACCAGAGCTTTTCTCTAAATGGCGAATCTGCTCTCGATCTCCAATATGCCATGGGTCTGATCTATCCTCAGCAGGTGACTCTCTATCAAGTCGGTGACATTGTGGCTGGCGGTAGTTTCAACAACTTCCTCGACGCCATTGACGGAAGTTATTGCACATTCATGGGAGGGGATTCAAAGGACCCAAACATCGACGCCCAATACCCTGATACTCAGCCAGGCGGCTTCACCGGCCCAAAGAACTGCGGCGGCTTCACCTCAACCAATGTCATCTCAACCAGCTATGGCTTCAACGAAGCCGATCTAGGCAGAAAATACGAAGAGCGCCAATGCGCCGAATACATGAAGCTCGGCCTCCAAGGCGTAACAGTCCTCTATTCCTCTGGCGACTTCGGCGTCGCCGGAAACGGCGGCCAATGCATCAACCCCGTAACAGGTGCGTTCAACAACGGCTCCTCAGGAATGTTCAACCCCTCCTTCCCAGGGGGCTGTCCGTGGATCACCTCTGTTGGCGCCACGCAAATCGTCAACGGCTCAACTGTACGAACTCCGGAAATCGCTTCTCAGAAAGTAATTTTTTCTGGCGGAGGATTCTCGAATATCTTCGCTATGCCAAGTTACCAAAGTAATGCAGTGAAATCATACTTCTCAAATAACAAAATCCCCTACGGCGCCGAACGCTTCAACAATTCTCAGACCGTCCGCGGCTTCCCGGATGTGTCAGCCAATGGTGTAAACTACGTCGTAGCTGTAAATGGACAGTTTTCTCTTGCTTTTGGAACATCTGCGTCCGCGCCGACTTTTGGAACCATGGTTAATATGATTAATGAGGAGAGGATTGCAGTGGGGAAGAAGCCGGTTGGGTTTATTAACCCAGTCCTGTATGCAAACCCAACCATGATGACGGATATCAGGTTCGGCGGGAATCAAGGATGTGGTACACCAGGTTTTAATAGTACTGATGGCTGGGATCCGGTTACGGGATTGGGGACGCCGAATTATCCGGCAATGATGAAGGTGTTTATGAGTTTGCCTTGATGGAGATTGCCTGAGAGGTCTTGAGACGGAGTACGAGGTTGGATAGATTTGGTTGAGAGACTTAGATTTTGATGTTGCCGCTAGATGCTGGCTTTGCTTGTGTACAGACATACCCTCCTTGTATAATGCCCTCATTATAGAATAATTCATATTACATATTTCATCCAAAATTATTCTCATCTCATCGCACCCTTCCTGCTTCTAAGATTCATTTCTCCACATCCAAACATGCCATACGCACTTATACAAGTGGTGCTCCTTACCCTCTCAAACCTGACTTGCTTTCATATTGTTCGCAGCTGTCACGCACTGTCTTCCATCCTGTGCCTCCAGATCGGTACGTTTTTAGAAGTCCTAGATTCTCGAACTCTATAGATTGTGCGGCTGTGTTAGGTCATTCGAAAAGAGTCTTCTCAAGTGCAATAGGCGCTTCCAAGGACGCACAAAGACGCATTCTGCACCCCTGTGAGTGCCTCTTCGCAGGTTTCCGCGGTGAGCTTATGATCTTTTATTCACGCATCTCTAGCATTTCCTTCGTAAGCTTACCAGCTTTCCATCTTCCTATGACTTCACTATACTTCCTTCACTGCCTTTCAGAGCCACTACTGTAAAAGAATAATCAACCGGTGCCCTCTAAAACGCATCAGGAATTCGCTTATGAACATGTCGTGATAAGTACCAAAAGAACTATAATCCACCAATGACTAAGATCAATTTCACTTAAACGACTTCTAGATAGTGGAGATGTATTTAGACTTCCCAATGAGGAGCTATCTTGACGTTCCTCCCACCAAAGGTCCTCTCGGAAGAACTTCGCTTCCACCTCCCCGGTCTGACTCACAACTTCTCGTCCCCCACCCAAGTACATTAATTATGTTAAATAAGCAGAATCTATCCAAAATTTAAGTCGCTTTGGTGGAGTGGTTAACACGTGGGCCTGCTATTCCTCGAGGAATTGGGAGATGCACAGCTCATGCCTTCGGGCGCGTAGGTTCGAATCCTGCAGGCGACGGAGGATGTTAGGGAGTACATTTTTGCATTTTTTTAACCTCTTTTAGAAGGTTTTAGGAGATACTTTTCCCGAAAATTTATTGTAAGAAGATATAATATATGTACACCAGCCACACGCTTCTCTAGCCACACACTTTTTATTTTTTGAAGTTTATATTATTTTTGGGATGAAAATTGATGATTGATGGTTTTGGCAGAGTTGGTAATGTTTTAGGGGTTACATTGGTTGTTTGTGGGAAGGGTGAGGCGAAGCTGGATTTTTATGACTAGCAGGAGAATAGGTAGTTTTCTTTGTTCGTTAGCCTTTTTTTTTTATTACTAAGTTCTGCCCTTCGTTCATTTTCTCTTAGCCGGCTCCAGTTCTGTTTATGCATTTTCAAGGGGTGTTCATAACCTTTTCAATAAATTTCTTTTCACCTTTCTTCCGTCTGTGCTTCACTGATTAACTAATTCTTTTTCTCCTTCACAAGATCCCCACCTCCCAGCTCCCCTCCAGTCCCCAAACCGTCTCATTACTAACCAAACCCGCCTCAGCCCTCACACTCTTTTCTTCCAACCCCTCGCTTCTATCCCACATCCACTCAACACGCCCTCAACACGCATCATAAACGGACTGAAATACAATGTCGCGTTCTCGCCGGGATCAACCGTTAACGTAAAGTCTGAGGTTTCGGTTCTGTCTGTTGTGGAAACTGTGCCGGTCTGGTTCATACATTTGTGATTTTCGGGTAAGTCCATGGAGTGCGAGCTGCTGGGTTAACCCGGCTTGATATACATGCTTTCCGCCAGTGAAAGGATGTTTTGTATAGCAGTGGTGTTAGATGAGGGAAGAGTGGTATTAACGCTCGCGGTGATGGTGATGGTGTATTTGCTGCGCGGAATCAGACAAGATGTTTTGTGTGCTGCGTCACTGAGGCAAGAGAGGCTTGCCACTTTGATGCGATCGCTGCCGTAGGATGTCCAGTTGTACCTGCTGTCAATTATTGAGAGGGGCTAGAGGAGGGTGGTGCAGTCTGAAAGCCCAGGCTGGGGGAGGATGTGCAATAGGAGAGTGGGTGAGACGGTGGCTGGGATGGATGTTGCCATTTTGGTTCTGGTTCAGTCAAACGGTTGACTTCTTCAACAATTATCACTTAGTACTGTGAGTCGATGACTCGTTTTGGTGGTGTTTGGCAACGAGATTTTGAGGCGCATCGCATGTGTCCAGTGTTCAACTCGTCAGCTCCAATGCTTTTATCCAGTGACATTCTGTAGTCTAAGTGAAACGCATAGTAGCGAGGCAGTGGAATGATACGCTTTCAGTGGAGTGCAGAGTCTAGTACGCCTCTGGCCTTACTCGCAAAAATAAACCGGCTGAGCTGGGTACTTCATGGTCCCATTGAGGTGAGGTGTTGATCATGCCAATCCTTTCCCTCGTCTCGCTTCTCGAGCCACGCTCTTATTTACCACGACCAAACATCAAACCGCACTCACCTACAGTATCAAGGTGCATTCCTCGGCAACCGCATCATATAATAAAACCGATAAACACCCCACCCCCTATCATCCACCCTCCTCTTCCCACCATCCCCTTCAACCCACTCCCTCAAATCTAACTCCAGCGTCCCCTCCACGCCCTTCCACCCCTGAGTCTCATAAAGTGGCCTTCCAACCGGACTAGCAATCAAAAAACACGGAACTCCCTCCCGATCCGCTTTCTCATGTCCCACACCTAACATCGCAGTGCCAATCCCGCGGCGTTGGTAAGAAGGGTGCGTCATGAGGAGAGCGAGGTAGATGCATTTTGTGGGAGCGAGCCAGGAGGACAAGAATGATTTGAAGGCGGTGTCGAGATATTTCTCGATGGGAGTTACCTTTCTTTTCTCCTTCATTTTTGCTCCCGTTTCGGTCGAAGAAAACATCCACCCACCACCGCCCAACATCATCACATCCTCACTACCTCCCCCATTTTCACTCTCGCTCTTTACACCATAGCCCCTCAACTGCCAAATCGCCAACCCCGCCACCTCCCCACTTTCCCTATCCAAAGCCTTCATAATTATCAAACTCTCATGACCGAAATTCTCTTCCAACTGCTCAATCAATTCATCCTTAATTTCCTTTTCGGATTTACTGCGGAGCTGCAGTGAATATAGAAGATCGGGGCCCTCGGCGGCGAGGTAGATGTCTATTAGGGTTGGGATGTCAGTGCGAGTGGCGGGGAGGATGAGGGGTGGTAGATAGTGGTGGGGTTTGTTTTGCGCGGGGAGGTCTAAGGGGAGGGGGAGGGGTTTGGTGCGCATTATTTTGATGAGGGGGCGATGGCGATAAGGGGAATGATGAGAGGGTTTGGAATGAGATAAGTGGGTATATGAAGGGTTGTTTGATTTTGAGAGTTGATTGAGATACATGTAAGGTTGTTGCCTAGGGGGGCTTATGTGACGTCAATGCTCTGAGTATCCTTGTCGCCATAGCGTAGATGGTCGATCAGAAAACATTCGAGGAGAAGAGCGAATAAAAGTATTCGTCACATAATGGAAGAGAATTGTAAGTGGCAAGGTATCTTATTGAACGTTGTAGATGCTTCTGATGGGTATCATGAGTTTGTAGTTCCGATTTGGACGAATCTAGAAAATTAAGCCTCTTGGAGCTTACTCGACTTTTTTTAGTTTAAATATAAATCAAAATCAAATTTCTTCTGGAATTATCTATGGCTTCCTCCTGAGTTTCACATTCTTGCTTTTCACTCCCACGCCTCCGAAAGAATGTCCTTGTTCAATTCTGTAGAAAGGGTTGAATTATTCAAATTATTATTAATTAAATACTCTGAAGTAGAATGCTTATTAAGATAATAAGTTACGCCGTCTAAATCACCCAAACCTCCATATAACCAGTGACGCCCTCTCAAGATATCCATATACAAATAGCGAGTGTTTTATCTTCCTTGACTCCATAGCCCCATCATGGTCTTCGTAACGAGCGTGATTTTATCCTTCCTAAAATACCATTTTCCGACGCCACATAAACAACAATTGTATCAAAACCAGAGACTTCGCCTCGCAAAATCGTATGAACAATGCCACCTCCCAGATCCTTCACATAGGAACAGTAAATCTACGACAAAACCCCCACCGCCAGCGTCCCCTCATTAACCCTCGTCACAACCCCCACCTCACTCTTAAAAAAGCACACCGAATTACTCCCCGGGTTTGTCGGCGAAAACACAACCCAAGTCGCAGCCATACATCCACTCATACTCGAGCATTTATCCAAACACTCATTTAAAGTGCTTGTCGTTGTGTTCCCCATACTTATTGTTGTGCCTGTGGTAGAGGAGACAGTATCAGAGGCGCAAAACTGCCGATAAGTTTTGGATGTGGAGGGAGTGGTGTAGTTTTTGTTATTGATCAAGGGACAGCCGGCGGGATCGAGGATCATGGTTGCGGTTGGGGAGGAGGAGGTTGTGTAAGTTGCTGTTGCTGTTGGTGCTAGTGTTGGCGTTCTGAGAAGGAGCATGTTAGTCAAAATCCATAATTGATAAAGAATCCGCAAAAAACGCACTCAGTAACCACCTCAGCTCTCGCCTTCTCCTTGACAACCAATGCCCCTCCAATCCCTCCCCCAATCCCACCACCAACCAAGAACGCCGCCAGTCCAACGACAATCATCCAACAAACCCCAATCTGCCTCCTTTCCTTCCTCCGTCCATCGTCTTCCCTCAATTCCTTTTTCAGAAACGGCACAAAACTTCTTCTCTCACTCGGTATTACCGGACTAGGCCACCTCGTCGTCTCCACCTGATCAGGATCAATCTGTTTCTGACTCAACGTTCCATTCCCCACCCGCTGCCGCTTAAACCGTTCCCCGTCAAACACAAACGCACTTCCGTTTTGTTTATGATCGAGATATTCCTGCACCACCTCTGGCCCTTCGGAAGACTTGCGTACTGGTCGAGGGGGTTTTGGTCGCGGGAGCGGGGGTAGACGAGGAAGAGGAGAGTGTGGTGGTGATGTTGGGGGAGGTGAGATGGGTGTGTGTAGGGTATGGGGTGTTTGTGGTGGTTTGGAGTCGCCCGAAGGGGAGGGGATGGCATGGAAGAGATCCATGGTTTTGAGCGACATCTTCCTGGGCCTCTATCTCATCAAGCCTCAAACAGAAGCTTCAAAACAAGATTAAGACTTAAGATTAAGTCAGGAACAAAACGTCAAACAGACCCGACAGAAAGGTTAACCAACTCAAAACAAAATCCACTGGGCCATGCTGGGTACTATCTCCTAGCATTGTGCCGCAAACGTAATGCTCGGATGCATCATTTTCGATAATTTCTTAATCAGAACGAAGTTTATTTCGCTTGGGGCGCAGCGACACCTCCGTATGGTGAAATATTGAAAATGATGCAGGTACGTATGCATGCTGATATCTTTATCGCTGGCGATTACTCGATGGGGTGGTTGTGGCGTCTGTGCCGTGAGGATGCAGGAACGTAGATTTCCTGGTTTGGGGAGGAGAAAAACGTGGGGACTGGGATGGGATGAGGGTTTCCAAGATGAGAATGCGGATCGTGACGGGGAATTAAAGGATCTGCACTTGCAAATGAAATGGTTTGTGAACACTGGAGATACGTTTTACGTTCAAGAAACATCAAGTGTGAGTCTGATGATGGTGACGGCATGCGAACCCTCCCGGCTCTTTTCAGAACCGACAAGCCTAAAAGAAAAGCACTGCATCGGAACCCCTCCAAGCTCGGTGAAGGGGCTGTGTACTTGGCACGTGACGTGCTCGCTCAGCGAGCTCAGCCATGTCCATTATTAGAAGCTTCTCCTGCCCACCTTTGAGGTGTTGGTGGTGAGTCTATATTGATAATACTCTATGAGTGCCCGACTTGAATGAGTGAGGAGGCTGTGAAAGTGATATATATTTGTTTGCGATGACAAATTCGGGGGTTTTATTGACAGAGAGGGATTTGGTGATGGATGGGGAGAGTAAGCATTGCAACTCTATCCCGATTAAAGAGGTACGAGG